TCAAGAAATAAGTTTCCGCGTGCAATATGCCTGTGATTTGAGTGCTGAACATTGAAAAGCACTATGCCTTAATAACAACTGGTGTTGCGTGTGCGGTGGTACTACGATTACTACAACTTCTACTACTGCAACGACTGCTCCTACCACTACAAAAACCGCTGTCGCTACAGCCACTACAGCAGTGTACTACAGTTTCTGGTACCATTTCAACTACTACTACTACTACTACTACTACTACTACTACTACTACTGCCGCTACTACTAATACTACTGTTGCTGCTGCTGCGTCTACAAACACGACCACTCCATCAACTACTTCTACTACTACTAATTTACTACCACTACTACCACTACTATCACTACTATTCCCCGCCTGTGTTGCAACCAGTTCTACAACTACTGAAACACCAACAACATCTATCATAGCTACAACTACCTTTGCTTTGTCCAGCTAACACATCGTTATGGATTACAACCTCAGTAACAATGAATCTCCCCTTTATCACACATACATTGTGTCACGTTGTTCTGTATTTTAACATTTTAATGTCACATCGTTCTGTTTACACCTTTATTCAAATGTCACGTTGTTCTGTGTAGACTTTAACTCTACTGTCACGTTGTTCTTTATAGACCTTACTTCAAATGTCACATTGTTTTGTGTACACCTTACTTCGAATGTCACGTTGTTCTGTTTACATCTTAATTCAAATGTCACGCTGTTCTGTCAACATCTTAATTCAAATGTCACGTTGTTCTGTTAACATCTTAATTCAAATGTCACGTTGTTCCGTGTAGACTTTGGCTCTACTGTCACGTTGTTCTTTATAGACCTTACTTCAAATGTCACATTGTTTTGTGAACACCTTAATTCAAATGTCACGCGGTTCTGTGAACACCTTAATTCAAATGTCACGCTGTTCTGTGAACACCTTAATTCAAATGTCACGCTGTTCTGTGAACACCTTAATTCAAATGTCACGCTGTTCTGTGAACATCTTAATTCAAATGTCACGCTGTTCTGTGAACACCTTAATTCAAATGTCACGCTGTTCTGTGAACACCTTAATTCAAATGTCACGCTGTTCTGTGAACACCTTAATTCAAATGTCACGCTGTTCTGTGAACACCTTAATTCAAATGTCACGTTGTTCTGATTACACCGCACTTCAAATGTCACGTTGTTCTGATTACCTTACTTCAAATGTCACGTTGTTCTGATTACCTTAATTCAAATGTCACGTTGTTCTGTGTACACCTTAATTCAAATGTCACGTTGTTCTGTGTATACCCTCCTTCAAATGTCACGTTGTTCTGTTTATACCTTAATTCAAATGTCACGTTGTTCTGTGTATAACTTAATTCAAATGTCACGTTGTTCTGTGAATACCTTAATTCAAATGTCACGTTGTTCTGTGTACACCTTATTTAAAATGTCACGTTGTTCTGTGTATACCCTCCTTCAAATGTCACGTTGTTCTGTTTATACCTTAATTCAAATGTCACGTTGTTCTGTGTATAACTTAATTCAAATGTCACGTTGTTCTGTGAATACCTTAATTCAAATGCCACGTTGTTCTGTGTACATCTTACTTCAAATGTCACGTTGTTCTGTGTACATCTTACTTCAAATGTCACGTTGTTCTGTGTACATCTTACTTCAAATGTCACGTTGTTCTGAGTACAACTTAATTCAAATGTCACGTTGTTCTGTTTATAGCTTAATTCAAATGTCAAGTTGTTCTGTTTATAGCTTAATTCAAATGCCAAGTTGTTCTGTTTATAGCTTAATTCAAATGTCACGTTGTTCTGTGAATACCTTAATTCAAATGTCACGTTGTTCTGAGTACACCTTCATTCAGGTGTCACGTTGTTCTGTGTACATTTTACTTCAAATGTCACGTTGTTCTGAGTACACCTTCATTCAGGTGTCACGTTGTTCTGTGTACATCTTACTTCAAATGTCACGTTGTTCTGTGTACATCTTACTTCAAATGTCACGTTGTTCTGAGTACAACTTAATTCAAATGTCACGTTGTTCTGTTTATAGCTTAATTCAAATGTCAAGTTGTTCTGTTTATAGCTTAATTCAAATGCCAAGTTGTTCTGTTTATAGCTTAATTCAAATGTCACGTTGTTCTGTGAATACCTTAATTCAAATGTCACGTTGTTCTGTGTACATCTTACTTCAAATGTCACGTTGTTCTGTGTACATCTTACTTCAAATGTCACGTTGTTCTGAGTACAACTTAATTCAAATGTCACGTTGTTCTGTTTATAGCTTAATTCAAATGTCAAGTTGTTCTGTTTATAGCTCAATTTAAATGCCAAGTTGTTCTGTTTATAGCTTAATTCAAATGTCACGTTGTTCTGTGTACATCTTACTTCAAATGTTGGGGTTGGACAGATCACACTTTAAAAAGTTATCTTCAATGTGTGTTTGAGCTGAAATCGTGTTGTGTTGACATTCAGACGAAAATATCAGGGAATACCGTATTTCAGTAATTCAAAGATATTATTTGGGGTACTGACGTCATCTGGTTCCATTTGTTATTTTAAAAAAAGGATGGTTTCGAACCACATGAACGTCATTGTTGTGAAATCTACTTCAAACGCACCATCACTGATATCGTTGCCCCTCGTCTACCACCAGCATCAGGGACGTCCGCCGCCCGACCCATCATGACATATGCATGTCAAGTACCGTGCTAATCATCCACTGCAACTCCCTTAAGACTGCGAGATGGACGGGGAATAGGGAGACTAAGCGTGCACAAATCGTATCGTGTCACATGCCAGAAATAAACAGCTTTCTCTTCTCAACACGTTTGTTTACGAGGAATCATTTCGTCGACGTATTGACCACACCGCCGCAAGTGGTCAGTCGTGGTGTATTCGATTGGACGAAAACACGCCCCGGTCAAGTTCAAGACAACGTTACATTGTAATTACTTGATTAATCGGTTTTTATTTATTCCCATCAAGAAAGAGTTTCGGAAGTAAATTAATTATTTAGTTGAGCTTAATTACATTATAATATAAATCAGGAATTATTTCTCTGTAGTAGTTTATATCACACGTTTGTAGGAATATAGAGTTTCTTAATTTGGGAAAATTGGTTTTGCATGAATAGCTGTGTACAGAATAACCATGCGAAAGTAACCACAGAGTGTGTGTGTGTGTGTGTGGGGGGGGGGGGGGGGGGGGGGTACTACCAATTCATCCCAGCCCACATCCCACAACATGCACCACGCATCACGCACCACCCCCACCCCACCCACCCCACACTCCCACACCACACACCACACATCACACCCCCACACACCCTACCACCACGAGCGAAATTGTTACAGGGCAGGTCAAGCTCGTGCAAATCATGTGGTCACCGCTAACACTGAGGCGTATTCGATTGGGTTGTTCTTTATTTCGACAGCATAAGTGGTAATAATGTATATTTGTTCATGCAAATAATTCATCAATATTTTCCGTCGGATTTCAAGTAAGATAAAAAAAAAACGTTTTCATCTTCTTTCGTTGAGACTAGAGGCTGGGATGTGTTTCGTCTGTTCATCGTGACATAACAGACTGATGTATGCTGTTCAAACTAGCCTTAACCCGTTCTCACCAGGTAACGTACGACTTTCACTATTAACCTAACTACACCAATCCGTGTAAACCCAAGATAAAGACGAAGTAAATCTGTTTTCAGTGGCATTTTATCACTAATTTCCACAAACTTGCTGATGCGGCGTGTTGCAACATGCCTTCATTGCCCATTGCTGAAGGACCCGTGAAGATCCGGGGTAGAATAGGTCGGTCTTCAGCAACCCATGCTTGCCGTAAAAGGCGACTATGCTTGTCGTAAGGAGCGACTAACGGGATCGGGTGGTCAGGCTCGCTACCTTGGTTGTAGACTAAAATCTAGTCTCTGAAATGAACATATCGTACATAAAAAAAACACTTGTTCAGTTATCTTAATAAAAATATAATAGAAAGGAGCCCAGTGACTCTCTTCATTTTCAGCAGTGATCTAGACTTGCCAAACATTATAGACTTGCATGGGCTGTATTTGATATATATTTGTATCAGGGTCTGTAAGACAGACTAACTTGGTTGATGCATGTCATCGATCACAATTGCGTGGATCGATGCTCTTGATATCAATCACTGGATTGTCTGGTCCAGGCTCGAGTATTTACAGACCGCCGTCATATAGCTGGAAAATTGCTGAGTGCGGCGTTAAACACCAAACCAACCAACCAACCATTGCTGAAGGGCGTTGTTGAACTGACACTGTCTTCATTGTCCTTGTCCCATAGTTAGTCCAACCGAACACACACCGACGCTGTTGTTTCCGATCGTTACGGTATCATGTTCTATTGATTCCCTGTAGGTCACTTGACCAGTGGCTACTTTATTACTGAGTTAGCGCTTTTATCTTCTTGACTGGACAATGGTCAACATTTGCCCTTAACAAGTGGTGGGGGTGGTTTCAAAAGTTTTATTGCGAATATATTTATGATCCGAAGATGTTGGTTTGTTGTTTAACGCCGAACTCAGCAATATTCCAGCTATATGACGGCGGTGATCCGAAGATGTACTGAGAGATATTTAGTTATTTGATTGCTGTAATTCATCGTTGTTGGTCCAGATTATTAGCGTACTAGGTAATGGAGAAATCACTCAAATCTAATGATTCCGGAGGCTTGTTGATTCTTGTTCCGGAGTGATTTCTCTTACTTTAACCATGTTAGGGTTGAAATATATTATTTCTCTGTAATTTTGCATAGTGAATTTGAGTCAGTTACTTGTTAAAATGTATGTTCAGAATGGCCAGTGAATTCCGCCCTAGACATAAACTGCAACAACAATAGCATTACGTCATCTTAACGGTCTAAGACAAAGGAGTGTAGGAGTTAAAGTGTCTCCCACTCTGCCTCCATCCCACTCTGCCTCTCTGCCTCTATCCCACTCTGCCTCCACCCTACTCTGCCCCCATCCTAATCTGCCTCCATCCCAATCTGCCTCCATCCCACTCTTCCCCCATCCCAATCTGCCTCCATCCCACTCTGCCTCCATCCCACTCTGCCTCCATCCCACTCTGCCTCCATCCCACTCTGCCTCCATCCCACTCTGCCCCCATCCCAATCTGCCTCCATCCCACTCTGCCTCCACCCCAATCTGCCTCCATCCCACTCTGCCTCCATCCCACTCTGCCTCCATCCCACTCTGCCTCCATCCCGCTCTGCCCCCATCCCAATCTGCCTCCATCCCACTCTGCCTCCATCCCGCTCTGCCTCCATCCCAATCTGCCTCCATCCCACTCTGCCCCCATCCCAATCTGCCTCCATCCCAAACTGCCTCCATCCCTCTCTGCCTCCATCCCACTCTGCCTCCATCCCACTCTGCCTCCATCCAACTCTGCCTCCATCCAAATCTGCCTCCATCCCTCTCTGCCTCCATCCCAATCTGCCTCTATCCCACTCTGCCTCTCTCCCAATCTGCCTCCATCCCACTCTGCCCCCATCCCAATCTGCCTCCATCCCAAACTGCCTCCATCCCTCTCTGCCTCCATCCCACTCTGCCTCCATCCCACTCTGCCTCAATCCCTCTCTGCCTCCATCCCAATATGCCTCCATCCCACTCTTCTTCCATCCCAATCTGCCTCCATCCCAAACTGCCTCCATCCCACTCTGCCTCCATCCCAATCTGCCTCCATCCCACTCTGCCTCCATCCCAATCTGCCTCCATCCCACTCTGCCCCCATCCCAATCTGCCCCCATCCTAATCTGCCCCCATCCCACTCTGCCCCCATCATAATCTGCCTCCATCCCACTCTGCCTAAATCCCAATCTGCCTCCATCCCAATCTGCCTCCATCCCACTCTGCCTCCATCCCGATCTGCCTCCATCCCGATCTGCCTCCACCCCACTCTGCCTCCATCCTACTCTACCTCCATCCTAATCTGCCTCCATCCTAATCCGCCTCCATCCAAATTTGCCTCCATCCCGATCTGCCTCCACCCCACTCTGCCTCCATCCTACTCTACCTCCATCCTAATCTGCCTCCATCCTAATCCGCCTCCATCCAAATTTGCCTCCATCCCACTCTGCCTCCATCCCAATCTGCCTCCATCCCAATCTGCCTCCCTCCTACTCTGCCCCCATCCTAATCTGCCTCCATCCGACTCTGCCTCCATCCTACTCTGCCCCCATCCTAATCTGCCTCCATCCTTATCTGCCTCCATCCCACTCTGCCTCCATCCCGATCTGCCTCCATCCCGATCTGCCTCCAACCCACTCTGCCTCCATCCTACTCTACCTCCATCCCAATCTGCCTCCATCCTAATCTGCCTCAATCCAAATCTGCCTCCATCCTACTCTGCCTCCATCCTACTCTGCCCCCATCCTAATCGGCCTCCATCCCACTCTGCCTCCATCCCGATCTGCCTCCATCCCACTCTGCCTCCATCCTACTCTGCCTCCATCCCAATCTGCCTCCATCCAAATCTGCCTACACTACACTACGACCATTCATACCGAGAGCAACACACCGTAAATTGTTGCTCCTGGCCTGAATGGTCGTTCGAGTGGATTACAGATAATATTAGGAGGATATTACTTTAACTGCAGAATCCAGTTTCTCTACTCACTATACAAGCTTAGTGGTGTCTCCCCATTTGGCAAACAGCTTATGCTCACATAGGTCATCACTAACCCATCGGCTGGTACCTTTCCAATGCACTGACTAAGCTAGACACGGTAGGAGACTAAACAAATTATGTTCATTCTAAAAAATAATTACTTAATTTTCACGATATATTGTTGCAACCTCAAATTGTGAAAATATATAGAGCATATTCTCTGTTTTCAGGACGGTTTCATCAAATTGACATTCTCAAACAGCAAAGAGTCTTTTAACAACATAGTAAGGATAATGATTTGTACATAATGGAAGACAGTATAAGTATATAATAAACTCCATTACAGCAAAATGCCAACTCTGACAATTTGTCAAATAAAATTCTTACTTTATTTAAGTCCTCTCAATTTCATATCAAATTCTTTTGTAAACATAACCTGTTTGGTGATCTCATTAAGGTCAATTTCATATTTAAAAAAAGCATTAATTGATATAATTATTACTCATAACGTATTATCTAAATTAATTAAACCTTAGGTTATCTGGTGAACAACTTCAATTATTTATAAAAAAATAAAAGCGAGAACACCTTTTCCATCTTCATAACAAAGCATTGTACGATTCATGAAAATATGTTTATGAATCACTATAAAATATTGATGATTTTAGGCTCGGCTATATATCCAAAAGATGATTTAAATATTCCTATTGGAATGTGTCAAATAGGATCAAAATATATTTACAAAATGGCTGTTATATTCAGTATAACATATATTGTTTTTAACATGAAAAACCAATCTGGCCAGATCCATTGTAACAATGAGCAGACCAACCTTCTCGCCACAACCTTTCTTGTTGACCTGTCTGATAACTGGGGTATGGGGAATGACAAACAAAAAATCATAATCATTGTGAATTTAGACTTCGAAACAACGATTAGCACATCCTGGGACTGCTAAGGGACGGAACTGTGCAGTTAATTGCGGTGCTATTAGCCGGTGACCGATTTTTTTTCCAGAATCTGATCGATGCATCAGTGACCGAAAAACGTCACGCTGAAGACGTGGATGCAATGTATGGATGAAATATCACGAACATTTGTAGAAAATTGCAATTAAAAGAAAACCTGCAAGAAAGATTAGCTGCAAGGTCTGCTGTTGAAAGCATTTTTAAATACAACCGAGTTGCATGTGATGGATGTATGTGATAAATTGAGAAGAAGTCAAGACCACTGACGGGTGATTTGCTCCAGACTAGTGTACTCGGGGCACGGCTGTCTGCTCTGGATAAAACCTGATCTGCTCAACTGAAAACCAGAGGTCCACACGTTCAGAAGTTTACTTCTATTAAATTATTTCAAGTTTGACAGTTGAGGATTTGCAAAACAAGCTTTTCTCATTAAATCGACACTCCCAAAATTTTGCAAAAAGAACATATTTCATTTATATGTTGTAAAATTCTAATCTTTCTGAACATTTCGTAACATTGTTTGGATGACGGTGAGTGAGTGAGTTAGGTTCTACCGTTATATACGGTATTCCAGTTATGTCACGGCGTGTCAGCTTAATGCGGGATGTAAGCTTAATGTGTAGCAGGTTTCAGACGTTTACCACTTTGGTGAAACCCGACCGCCTCCGTGGTCTAGTGGTAGTGCGTCCGCCCGGAGAGCGGAAGGTCCGGGGTTCGATGCCCGGCCGCGTCATACCAAAAGACGTTAAAAGATGGTACTTGTTGTTACCCTGTCTGGCGCTCGGCATTAAAGGGCTAAAACAAGGAGTGGTCGTCTCGGAGTCAGTATACTTTGTCTGAGTGGGGTATTCATGTTAAACTGCGGCATGGTATCTCAGTGTGCTAGCACTATAAATCGGCACTATAAAAGTTTTCAAGATCTGTCCAGGAAACTAACGCTACCGTTATTTTCAATCTAAGTTAAAGTCGTTGCCATGGAAACTCGAAAAACAGATATTTAAAAAATCCCAAACTATCAAAAGGCACCAGTTTATCACAAGTTTGGTTAAAATACCGCTCATGTTTTTTTGTTCTCCCGGAAAGGAAACGTTTATCCCTACCCTGACACATCACTCTTTATCTCTACCCTGACACATTATTGTTGATAGCTACCCTGACACATCACTGTTTATCTCTACCCTGACACATCATTGTTTATCCCTACCCTGACACATCACTGTTTATCTCTACCCTGACACATCACTGTTTATCCCTACCCTGACACATCACTGTTTATCTCTACCCTGACACATCATTGTTTATCTCTACCCTGACACATCACTGTTAACCCTACCCTGACACATCACTGTTTATCTCTACCCTGACACATCACTCTTTATCCCTACCCTGACACATCACTCTTTATCCCTACCCTGACACATCACTCTTTATCCCTACCCTGACACATCACTCTTTATCCCTACCTGACACATCACTGTTTATCCCTACCCTGACACATCACTGTTTATCCCTACCTGACACATCACTGTTTATCTCTACCCTGACACATTACTGTTTATCCCTACCCTGACACATCACTCTTTATCCCTACCCTGACACATCACTCTTTATCCCTACCCTGACACATCACTCTTTATCCCTACCCTGACACATCACTCTTTATCCCTACCCTGACACATCACTCTTTATCCCTACCTGACACATCACTGTTTATCCATACCCTGACACATCACTGTTTATTCCTACCCTGACTGTGTGATCACCCCACCTGTGGTACAATGTCAGTATGTCAGCGTCACAGCACACTGTGGCCATCCGGTGTCTGTAACAATGAACGCGGATGTTTCAGGAATGTTTGTGTAGTGTGCGTTGCGATGATATTATGTAGTCACCCTGTGGACAAAAACACATATTCCGGGCCACGTACCCTGGACGAGGCGCCGAGGACAAGGATAATTTACTATGTCTTTAAACGACCTACAACAAAAGATTACATCCTACGCAAACATGGCAAATACGATATCATGCAGCTATTAAAATGGCTTTCAAGATAAAAGTACTTAATTATTTATTGGCATATATTGCGATCAGATTGCTGGATATATGCAAATAGTAAAGAATATTCAAATGCGCACACCCACTCAATGTTAGAACATCCTGGATCGGGTGTTGGCGTGCACAATGGCGTCTTTATGAAGAGATAATGAACACTTGTCAGATGTCAGGACAACATCAACATAACCGTCAGGCTTCTTCAGCAGCCCACGCTTGCCCTAAAAGGCGACTATGCTTGTCGTAAGAGGCGACTAACGGGATCGGGTGGTCAGGCTCGCTGACTTGGTTGATGCATGTCATTGATTCCAATTGCGTGGATCGATGCTCATGATGTCAATCACTGGATTGTCTGGCCCAAATTCGATTATTTACAGACCGCCGTCATATAGCTGGAATATTGCTGAGTGCGGCCTTAAACAACAAACAAACAAACAAACATGGCCGGCAGAGTGGGCCGAAAGCAGCCGCGGTTGTTCCTTCGATATGCACGTGTGGCGGAGTGTCAAATGTACCATTCTGTAAAATCCAAATTCGAATCCGGTGTGAAGACAAGACTGACATCATGAACGACGTCCCACGTCACCGGTGTACGACGACACGCCGTCAACCAAGTCATCGAGCCTGACCATACGATCCGTTAAGTTGCCTCCTTCGATCAGAATAGATTTCTGGGGTCCTATTCTAACCCGGCATCATTACGTGCAAACTCTTGTTAACCTGAAACTGCCCGAATATACGTCAGAGAGTTAGTCACTCACCTTGACCTAGTTAACAGAAGTGAGTCTAAATTAGATAAACGAAGGAAATCATCACCGGTCATATAAAAGGTGTATTTACATCAGTTGTATCGTCATAGAAGACGATCTAACATCCTTTCTTTTAGATTTGAGCTGATTGCTATTTACGGCCTTGCTAGAGGTGGTTAGGCTTCACAACAGAGACAGCTCTTAAACTCTCAGAGGGGTAACTGTCATATTTAACTTTCATCGGAAAACTAGCAATATTTTAGATAGGCAGAATCAAATAACCAACGTGCAGTGTCTCATTTCCGGCCGATTTACGGCAGTTGTCGTCACATTGCTCTGGGTGGAATGTTTATCAATGTCAGTGTAACAAGATTTGCGACATTCATAAAAAAATATCGCGGCTCATACTTAAGTATGCTGGAATCAATATCTCTCTTTGTTTTGACTTTACAACTTCCGAGCACGAG